AATATCACCTGTCATTCTTCTAGGTATCCTTTCCACCTCTTCTATATCTTTCCTGAGAGGGGGGCAAGGAAAGGTGGCAACACGCTCTCTCTATTACTAACTATGGGATTCAGCCATAACAGAGGCATCACAGCACTGTGAAAGAGTAAAAAATATTAAACCAAAACAACATTGCTTGAATGCCTTTACCATGGCTGGATTCCTTAGTTTTCAATAGCTAGGACACATAAGAGACCATTGAGTATGAGCTCTTTTGCCTACAAATTCATTTTATTCCCAAGCCAAAGAAAATGACGAACTGATGGCAGTTTTGCAAGTTTATGCAATAAATGTAACTGTGTTCCTATCGCATGTTCTAGAACGTATTACAAGTGCAACCTTGAACAGGTAGATAAGCCAAATTTATGGTAGAAAAAGGGCAAAGGCATAAAAAACTTCTGCAAAGGCTAATGGAATCCACCAGTTTTAGCTCAATATTTAGGTGCTCTGAGGAGAAGCTGTTCAGTTTACTCGCCTGTTACCTACCCCTCTAACTGCAGTGCTGCAGGCTGGGAAGAGTTTATGACAAAATGAAGATGACAGAGGAATGACTTCTGTGGGGTTCTTTGTCACAAAACAGACAAGTCTGCTTAATTCCTTTCAGTGTATGACTATGTGAAACACTCACAGAGATTTACAGGTCATTCTCAAAAGGCACCAGACAAAAGGGAAAGTTCAAATGGAAAGGGTAGATTTATGGCTGAAGTAGTGGGATCTTTGCAGGGCCCTTCCAAAATTCTGCTGTGATGAAGACATACCCTTAGATCTGTAAAATGGGCATAAGAATACAACACAGATGTTGTTGTGAGACCTCAAACATTTATGACCCTCAGCTGGCAGGCGCCTGTCTAAGTGCTAAGTATCATTATTATTCTCTACAAATCTGAATCCTCCTGTCAGCAAGAGTCTCTCTCCAGGGCTGGAACTACTGTGTGCCCAGACGGAGTCCAGCAAAAGCAGACAGCACCCCATTATAAGGAAACATGCAGCTGTGCTCATCTCAGCATAAAGGCATCAATTTTATTCGCCACTGTCAAACGCACAGTAATTATACAGGGCAGGACATAGGGACCCTGAAGCAAGTGTCCTGAAAGAGACCCCTCTCATTCAGCTCAATAAGATGCCTTCAGCCATTTGCACTGATAAACCATTATCAACCCCTCCCCGCACACAAACCCCCTCTGCTGTCCCACAGACCCTCCTCTATTGCAAGCAAAGGGAAGTGTTGAACAGGCTAAGCTGTTACCATAGCAGCCACCCCTCTCTCTCTCCCCCTCCCCACTCCCACCATGATGGAATTATCCCATTCTGAAATGTCCTGTTGTGTCTATTAATACCAGACTTCCCCCGAACAATGCTACTCTCCACCCTTCTAAAATAATCAGGGACTCCAAGAAGTCTGTGTTCATGGCTGGGAGTTCAGGAGCAGCTTTTAGTAGCACCATGAACACTGGAATATTCATACAGTATATTCATACAGTATATTCATATCTGTAACAGCAGCAGCAACCGCAGTGCCAAGAGCTCAGCTGGGATGAAGACTTCTCTTCAGTGCTGGGGCATCCTCTCCCCTGCTCTGTTGTGTGACTGAGCTGATAATGCGCTATCAGAGCTAGAAGGACGCTATATAGAGGGGCTCCCCTTTCCACCCTCAGCAACACTGCAACTGTGGCTCTTTTGGGATCATCTTGGTTCACTATTGCTGCTTCCACTTGGTTTGCTGTCATCAGGATTTCCTTCAGATTTTCCCCAAAAGGACCCTGTACTTCACCCATAGGACTGCACTGTAAAGAGGTAAGAGACAAACTTCTGTTAGAAGAATAATGAAGGAGCTTTCCTAACAGCATTACTTTTAGCTGCTATCAGTGAGATGGAAAGACACATGCAGAGGTGGATGAATGTACTGGAAATGCCTGAAACTAAGAACTGGCAACCTTTTTGAACTTCAAAGAATAATTTCCTCACTCTGATTTACATAACTGCTCCAAAACATAAAAGGTCTTTCCTGTTTTAAGTACTTCTGGACCTAAGGTACATCCATTTGTATCAGGAAAGCTAACAGCTGTATGGTACATCCAGTGCTCTCTGACACTGCCTTGATGCTCACAGAAACAAACATTTCAGCTGAAAGGTGGGAAGGAGTGACTTTTCAGGAGAATTTCGGTCAGAAGCAGACTCTTTTAATGAGCACTTCCAGTGAAAGCTATTTGACAAAGACACTACAACCATAATCATAAAATGCAACAAAATAACCATAACCCCCCCCCAAACTAGCATCACCCCAAACCAGAAACTGTTCAGGCTGAAAGCAAGTACAGGTATTTCTGAGATCCACTACAAACCTTAACATATAGTTCAAATTTATCTGCAGAGGGCATTGTAACAAACGCTCCAAACTAGCCAAGTAACTAACTTATGATGAGCTAAGTATTTCTTCTGCCTTATTAACTGTTTCATTCATGACATATAGAGCATCTGCTGAAAGAGTGATCAGATTGTGTCTGTACTGACAGTCTGGTGGATTGTTATCTTGCTGGCTTCTGAGCAGAAGAGAAACAGGGCATAAAATACGGTCATTTCAAATGAGCATCCACATTACAGCTCAGCCCTGGGAGGCCTGGGATAATGGCTCATTCCAGAACAGTGCTGTTTAGCAATACGTAAATCACTAAATACTCACAGAACACCAAAAGAGCAATCCAAGCGGAAATTATTGGACAGTGAGCCAGATCCCTAAAGGAGTTTTCTGTCTGTGGAGTCAAAGCCTCTCGCACCATATAGATTAGCACAAACTACACATTCTAGGTCATTTGGGAAGGTTTCTAGTTTGCTCTTAGCATTCACACAGACTAGTACAAGAAGCTAAGACTTTGAGTGCTTTTTGTAAGCATAACAAACCAAAGAAAAAAAAACCCTAAACATTAAACACATATATTTTAAATTGATAGGATAAACCCAGGCAAAATGGAAATGAAGCTGTACGTAATAGCAAAGGACTTTCCACAGGTCCAGACAGGTATCAACGGCAGACTCAAAGCTACCATCAGTGGGGACAGAACTCTCAGCCTTTAAGTCTTGGCTATTCCAAGTCTGGCACTGACACTCCACTGAATCTGAATCCCAGAGATCCTCCTCATGAAATGAGCTCAAATAGTTTAATGTATCATGCTGCTAAACCCCTAGTATTTAGCTTGTAAACAGGGAAAATGTCTGCTTACTGCTTCACTTCCTGAAGAGATTTAAATCATTATCCTTAAGACGAGACATTCCTATTTGCTCTGTTAGACAACCCTTGCTTCTGCCTTTTCAGCTGGTCTGAGCCAGCATTTATTGCGTTACCAGTGTCACCAGCACGTATAAAGCCATCAGACGACCGAGCACCGACAGGTGTCTATGTATGACATGATTGCATTTTTCACAGATGAAAAGCATATTTAAACCAAATGCCTAACACAAAAAAAGAGGCTACACTGCCAGAACATCAGGTGAGAGATACCAGTGTAAATTAACAGCCAGTAAAAAGGCATGGCCTCATTGTATTTATCCTTTGGCATGCGAGACAAAAATACATATTTAAAGTAATTCCATCGAGGGAGGACAAGTATTTGAGTATGTGACACACATACTGTCACGTATGTACTTGTGTATTACTACCACATACAAATGTCAAAGTCTTGTGTTCAAAAACACTTGCATGTTTTACTTTGCAAGGGACAAATAAACACTAGAAACAAAAAATGCAGGCTCCTCTGCAAACCAAGGAAATTCACATGGAAAATTGCAACAGGGCATTTTCCTTTTATATATGAAAGCAAGATTTCACATCTATTTTTTTACAGATAAAACATCCCTTGGAAAAAAAGGGCTGTACAGTCTTCCCTGCACTTCTTGTAATTATAAAATGATAATCTGTTGCCATCTCTAAGATTACAAAGAAGATGGCAGCAGGCAGTGAGTACCCATACTCTCAAACCTAGAGTCTTTTTGTGCCATAAACACGCAGAGTACCCAGGCAATGTGTGGTGTCAGAAGGACCCTGTGTGGCCATGTGAAGACATTTCAGTTTCTGAATTTCATTCAGTCTCCCTTCAGCTGAGTTTCATCTCTTCAACTGTGAACTAAACACAGATGGTCCAGCAGATTAATCTCCCGCTATTGTAGTTTTCTGTCCACCTGAAAGAGACAGCAGCCAAACAAAAGATGGCAATTACCTTGGAATTTTGTTTACATTTTCCAATAGATGGGTTTGTCCTTAAACCCATTTAGGTTTCTTAATTAGCCACCAATATTTCTAGACATCTGAAGAATCAGTACTGCTGGGAAGCTGGATGCATCGTGTAATGCCTTGGATCAACTGTCTAATGATGTAAGATCTCAGCATGTAACACAGGTTCTGCCCAAGACTAAAAATTTGACCTAACAATGTCAGGAAGCACCTTAAAATTTTATATCTGTCGAGGAAAATGGGTATATTTAAAGATGTATTCAATATTATGGAGAAATGGTCAACCAGTACAAAATGCACAATGAAGGTACTGCTGTACATACTGTAACACCTCTGAGGAATCCAATAAACAGAGATGACGCTGGAAACTCAGACTGCCTGCATTTCCCCCTACCTATACCTACAGATGAGGAATGTATAGAAAGCCATGGGCAGGTATTCATAAAATCTTATCACCTTCTATTGATGCTATTCAGGAGGCTGCAGACAACTGAGCTGCTACTTGGAAAAGGCCTTGAATAAGCTAGAGTGGAGTTCAGGCTTTTGAGGGAGGAAGAGAGAAGAATCAGCTGCAGGGAAGGACGGTATTTTGACAAGTAACCAACAGCATGAGCATTACTAATAATCATTTTTTAATCAGTTCAGTGCTTTCTGCTGTTCAAATGAGATGCTGCTACTCATCTGAAAAGTTTCTTCCTATATTGGAACTAGATGCATTGCCCTAGATAGAGGTCTGCAGACCAAATAATTTTCAAACATTTTCAGGAACCCTGCAGGCTTTTTTAATAACAGCAATATCTGACCTGTCTTCCAGCTCTTCTAGGAACAGGACAGATATTCTAAGCTAGGTCACCTTACAACAGATACCTGTGTTCAGAAAAGCTGACTCATTGTGAGCTCTTTAGCCTGAATCAGGCTTTCAAATTAAACACAGCAAATCCTTTCTAGCTAGACATACAGAACCCACTTCCAGTCTTCCATTAACCAGACACATAAGCACTGCACTACTCTCTTATTTAACTCATCTCAGCCCAAGTTGGAGACAAGCTCATAATCAAATAGCTAGCTCTCTGTTGTGGCTCCTTCAACAGGAATTAATGCCCTGGAAAACACATCTAAGCAGGACGTATTCAGAATTTTAATGTTAGGGTTTAAACTCAGACTGGCCTGTCATATTGAATACCAGTATCAGCTAACAGTAGACATCACTTATTTCCATATGTGGGTTTTTTGGGTGTGTTCTGGGGGCTTGTTTCTGTTTTTCTTCACAAAACCACGCTCTTTTATAATATACTGTCTCAATTCTTGCAGGTTTGTTTTTTCCCTTCAAAACTGTTGTGAAAAATGAACAATCCAGCAGATCCCTCAAACCTACTCTTCAACTGCTCAAATCCATCAAATTTCTCTTTGGAAACCTCAGAGCAATGTGGCAAAGAGACACACCTCGAGAACATCCTTTTTGCAACTTTCTACTTCCTGGATTTCATCCTGGCTTTTGCTGGCAATGCCCTCGCTCTTTGGCTCTTCATCTGGGACCAGAAGTCAGGCACACCTGCCAACATCTTCCTGATGCATCTTGCTGTGGCTGATCTGTCCTTTGTGCTGGTACTTCCTACCCGGCTGGTGTACCATTTCTCTGGTAACCACTGGCCATTTGGTGAGATCCCATGCAGACTCACTGGCTTCCTTTTTTACCTCAACATGTATGCCAGTATCTACTTCCTGATGTGTATCAGCGTTGACCGCTTCCTAGCCATTGTGCACCCTGTGAAGTCCATCAAGCTCCGGAGGTCCCTTTATGCCCATTTAGCATGTGCCTTTCTATGGGTTATAGTTGGGGTTGCAATGGCACCTCTGCTGCTCAGTGTGCAGACAGTTGAGATGGAAAATACAACTGTCTGCCTGCAGCTCTACAGAGAAAAGGCATCACGTCATGCCCTTGTGTCCTTAGCAGTGGCATTCACCTTTCCATTTGTTACTACAGTGACTTGCTACTTATTGATCATCCGAAGTCTGAAGAGTGGGAACAGAGTGGAGAAACACCTGAAGGAAAAAGCTATCAAAATGATCATCATGGTCCTGCTGATCTTTCTGGTTTGCTTTGTACCTTATCACGTCAATCGCTACATTTACATTCTCCATTACAATGGAACCAAAACTTCCTGTGAAACACAGCGTATTCTAGCCCTCAGTAACCGCATCACTTCCTGTCTCACAAGTTTAAATGGTGCCTTTGACCCAGTCATGTATTTTTTTGTAGCTGAGAAATTCCGTGAGGCTTTGTGCAATCTGTTTTGTGTTAAAAAGACTGCAATGATGCCTCAAACATACGAGGGTAAGACAAATGAAAGCTCACTAAGTGCTAAATCTGAACTGTGAACACAACTCGTCACTGCTTCAACTTAAGAATGCTCAATTCCACTAGAACCAACTGAGAGCGCAAGTATGCAGTGAGATAGTACACCCGGAGTCAAACTTGCCTTGAGGAGGGAAGTTCTGTTGTTTTTATGGGACTGCAGTTAGCAAGAACCACTCTGACAACAGAGGTTGCGTGTTCTTGTCTTACTGAAACTGCAAACACAAGTACAGTTCTACTGAAGATGTGAAACTGAGGGCTGAACACTTAGGAATAGGGAAGGAAGCAAAGAGGATATTAAACTCATATTTAAAACCAAACCAAACTTAACTCCCAAAGCATTCACAACAACTCTTCCTCTGCACAATGCACACAGCCTACTTAACGTTTTATACTGTGCCAGCTCCTGAAACACTCCTGCAACAGACCCGCCTTGATGAAAGGATAGGATGCCTGCACACTGTGCTTAAGTCCCTGAATTCAAAGTGCTTAAACATCATATGCAGAAAATTGACACTAAATGGTGGAAAGGAAAAAAAAAAAAAAAAAAAGATCAAAATGCTGCACTGCACCCAACCTGGAATTAAGACAGGATTTACAAGTGTTTTACTTCTCAGCATTCAGAGCTCGAGTTGAGCACTAAACTTCACACTGCCTTTCCTATCTGCCCTCTGTCATTGTCTAAAAGCTGCAGACAGAAGCTGGACAACTTTTAGTATTTTGCTTCTTTTAAGTAGCTCCTAGCAAAACATCAGATATCGTCTATTCAATGTACAGAATTGCAAAGGGCTGCTTAGGAATACAGTCTTCATCTTAACCACATACTGAATTATAAAAATACGAAACCAAATGGCAAAAGTGAATAGGAAGCATATGAAGGAGTTCAATCTACTTTGCCCAGAAGAGATTTGTATCTTTGAGGTGTTTTACAACTTTTTTTTTGGTGACTTCTCTAGCAAGGCTATTCCTTCACTACAGATGAAGTAGGGATTATCTTAACTATCCTCACTGATACACACCGCATCCAGTCGAATATGCCTGGAAATGACAGGCACACTAGGGAAGACCAGGTACAATGAGAAGCAGGAGAAAGAACCTGAGTTTCCAATATTATATCCTAGAAGACAGCTTCTATGCTATGGAGATGAGTATTAAACGAAATAACGTAATTTATACTTTTTATGTGCAGATACATACACTTGCATATCTCTTTTCAATGCTCTTGGGAATGAACTCCTTACCGGTTTAGATTTGGTTCACAAACAATGAAATCAAATATGCTTTATCTTGCTTGAACTGCTTCAATCCTGGCTGCCTTCCCAAAACACCCTAGGTGCTACCATAACAGCTCATTCTAACAAGCTTAGGTGTCACAAGAAAATCAGTTATGTCCAACTCCAGAAACTAATGCAAAGAAGTTGCATGAAGAATGGAAGAGAAGAGAGAGCTGAGAGGATTTCCTGCTGGACAGGGTACACATGTATAGCCCTTCTTCCCTTTTTCACCATTTAGTTAGTGACAATATAATCTCTAGGAAACTACTAGACTTTGCTCAAGACGTATGAAAGCCTGAAATTAACTATGAATTGAGCAACAGTGTCTGCTAACTGCTGGATTGTTTTATTTTCTTATCATGGTATGCTTTTGTACAAGTGCCCTGCAGTGGTTTTTTATTTCTTACTTCTTAATTAAATGCATTAATCAACCTTTAAGACTCTTTTATATATTTCCATATATAAAAGGAATTATTTCAGAAAACCAGGGGAACAGGCTTTCCTGTAATCCTCGTGTTATTCTCTTACTCTTTTGCTATACTTGATTTCCTGTTCAGCAGCTTACTCCATAATATCCTGCCCAGGATCACACAATCCCTTTTACTCTGAAATCCCTTTCTTTTCCAGAACCCATGCACTATCTAATAAAATTCGAGCTTTTGTTTTCCACGTTTCACTGGATGAAGAACACTGTTCTTCATTCCATTTCTCATCTCCTAAGAGGCTATTCCTTCAAGCTTCTTCTGTACCTTCTCAAGCTTTACCTCCCAGTGTACAACTAACTGACCACACTCAACATCTCACCATTGTATCAGTAACATACTGATTATACTTTCAGAGCTCCAGCTCTGCCTTACCTGCCAGCATTCCTCACAAAGCCCAGGTCAGCAAGTGCTACATCGCAGAGCTCACAGCGGAAACATTCTGGGTGCCAGTTGTTGTTCATTGCCTTGATAACACGCCCAATAATGAACTCACCTGCAAAACAAAGCAACACCTTGAGATATATGCAGAAAACAGTATTCCTGAAAGTCTACTGCCCTTTATAATCCTTCCACTTCAATTTCACAAGAACTAGTAGAGTCTAACTTTGAAAAATACCAACATAAAACAAAACAAAAAACCCACAAACAAAACAACTACTCCCACAACCAGGAAATCCCAAAGCACTGCTGGTATCTCACTTTGTTTCCCTCCAGAGCTCCTTAAAATAACCTCTGCAATGGTGGGAGGTTTGCACAGCCCTCTACCTGTTACCCCACGGTATTGGCAGGCACCATATCTTACCACATTCCCCACAGCAAGGAGCAAACAGCATCTGAAAGTCATGTTCACAGTACTTCCGACCTTCAAACTGGGAACAAAACAAGACATAAGGAGCCCTCATGAGTAACTGAACTACCCTTGTGTCTTGACACTTCAGCATGATTTTCTATTGAAATGATCACGTCAAGGTTAGTCAAGTTTTGCAGTTCTAGCTCCCCCTCACCTGTTCTTAAACTCCTAAGGATTTTCCATAAGGATATACCCAGATATGGCTTTGGCCTTGTGGTCAATTTGCTAAATTAATAGCAGTGCTACTGCGAGATGGTAAAAATCTTGAGGTTTCCAAAGCCCTTTTCCTAGAGTTGACTTTAATTTCATTATTGCTTTATTTTTTATTACTCATATAATTCAGAACTACTCCTCCTATATGAGGTTAAAACTCGGCAAATTAAGAATGCAGCATATTTAAACCAATGTGTTATTCAAAATGTGTGCTTGCACACAGTCTGTAAAAATACTTCAACCTTGTTTTTCAATAAGTCCACCAATTTTGGAAAGGTTGGGTATAAAATGTCTAAAAATAAAGACCAAAAAATCACTTTTGCCTTATGAAATATTAAGAAATACTTTCTATTTTCATTTGAAATTCCTCTTACAAAAAAGGAAGCACAGTTTTTGTTGTTACTGATGTATAGGAAGGAACGTGTAAGAATTAAAATTAGGGAAATTAGGTCCAAAGCCCCTCCAAAAATAGCAACAAAGGTTTAGGACTAAGAAATTAAACATGTGAGAAAGATGTAAAATCGTATCTTGGACAGAATTTTAACTTAATTCCTTGTATTTTAATGGAGCTGTTTCTCTTCTCTTACACACAGTATGCAATCTCACCTCATAAAATAGCCCATCTGGGAACTGACGGAAACACTGAGCACAGACAAAGCAGTTTTCATGATAGAGTTCCCCATTACTGTTGACAATCTTCTCTGCAGGATCAAATCGAGCCTGGCAGCGTTCACATACTGCATTTGCGAGAGCATCAGACATATTACTGGAATAAAGACAAGAGTAAGAACATGAGCAGTGTTGCAGCCAATTACACAAGTGTAGTGATATCATCCAAGTTTCCCCAACCACTATGAACACTTTTCCACAGCTTTAAACTCCCTTTTACATGAAACAAGGACCAATGAGTCAATTCAGCACTGACATTAGTTCTGAATAATGTCCTTGCTACTCACACGTGGCAGAATGAGCTCAACTAGCAGACCTACCTATTGCACGCTTTTGGCTGCTTCCCCAGACTTCCATCCCGTTATGCCATCCTGCTAGTGGCTCATTGCAAATATCCACCATTTTAAATAAACCAGGAGTTCCAAGAGTAGCAAACACAATGATCCTGACTTCTTGGAATTTCTACTCTCAGGATGTACACCTCCAAGGATTCTTTGATGTGTAATAAGCATTGATATCCCACTGCAGTCTCCCTTCCACTGCAGGGTTTAACAGGGCATTTTCCCCTCTAGCCAGCAATTCATGTGTACAAAATTAATTAGAAAATAATTGCCTACAATGCCTCTGTCTTCCCAACAAATTAGTTGAAACTGTCCAAGTGTTAACAAGGTATGGAAAGAGAGAAGTCACTCTGGCTGGCTTGGCAAATGCATCAGCTCCATTTCCTCAGAAAGCGAGGCTAAAGAACACCCAAGCCACACTTGCAAATCACGTAAAGGTCATTTCCTCTGTCGCCCCTAAATGTGGAATGACATTAATCTCTTTCACAATATTTTCATGCTTGCCATCATGGCAATCTAAGTTCTCTATATACCAGCAGAATGCAGCTTTAAAATCATACATAGCATGTCCAAACAGGGAAGGAAAAATTACAAGGAGTCAGTTTCTTGTTGCAGTGCTGTTTTTCTTTTAACCACCAGACTGTCTAATAATATAAAAACCCCACTATTGTTTCACTTTAAGATACAGAGAAAAACTCTATTTTTTGCTTTCTGGGCACCTACTGGAGTCTATGATTCAAAAGATAGCAGGTTTATAACTGGAGTATAACTTCAAGCATGTTAAAGATCTCAGAAGGATTTGGGTAGTAGCTTTCCTGAAACACATAATGTATAAAATGAAAGATGGCTTGGTTTAAAAGTGGTTTGGTTTTCTTTTCATATTCAAAGCTACTTTGAAGTGAATTTCCATTGTTAGTGTTATTCTACAACCTGACATGCTACCTTCCACACCTCTTCATAGAGAACAGTAATTCAATAAGCACGTTCCAGTAGTAGAAGATTCTCTTTCCTCTGCTCAGAGGCACCCTTGCAGAAACACCGGTTGTATCTCAGGGCTCTGCGCTCTGAGCACAGCTAAAATGAGCAGGCAGAAGTGCAGGCAGCAGCCTCATGCTCCCCAGGCAACAAAACCAGCCCTGTACTTCAGTTGGCTCAGCTGAGCCAAACGGATCACATCTGCAGCCTGTACAAACATCCTACACTGTGACCTGGAGTGACCGTACCATAAAATCAGACTTTCTTTCTGCCACTGCAATTCCAAAGGTGGTAAAGACCAAGGAAGCTCCTAATAATTTCAAGGATGGAGTACTGATTTAGCAAAAATTTGTTACAACTTGTTTCCTTGTTGCAGTATGAAGGAGCTCAAAAAAAAAAAGTCAAACAGAAAGGGACCAGATTTATGGACAAGCAGGAAATCCTGCAGTTTCACAAACCAGAGATCATAGGTTAAACACAAAACCATCAGTGTTTGCAGCAAAGCCAAGAGACCTAATCGGCTTAGTTTTCAGTTGCTACTCTTTCAGTTACATCATGCAAAGAGGTACCAGGACTTGAAAACAGAACCT